GGGGGGGGGGGGGGATAGGAGTGCCAAGGTGGAGTCATAGATTCTGAAGTCCAAAGTATCTGAAGACCATGATCAAGCTGGCAGGACAGAATACCCTGGCTGGGTCGATGGTTTAGGGCAAACTGGTGGAACTGGAGAATAAGGAAGACAAAGGGGAGTTTGAAGACCTGTTTGGATTCAGGAAAACTGGAGAAAACACTGGAATGGGTTCCAGAAGGACTGTAACTCGGGAGGCTTCAGGGAAACTGGATTAGTGAGATTAAGGTCCTCTTCCACCACTCACACGGCGAAGGGGCGTTCCTTTAATAGCAAGAACTGACACTTGAGGACCATCCATGAACAGCACTGACTTTAGGGGCTTGTTTAAGCTTGCTTTAATAAATGCAAGAAGGTAATTTGTCCTAAAAATGCACTGAATTTATCTGATGTAAAAACTCCCAAATGTGGTCCTTGAGGGAACAATCATCTTGGTTGAAGAAGGTGAGTTGCACAGCCGTTATATCCACTTTTTTACTACATTGTAATGAGATCTGACACAGACAGAATTAATCAGACGTTAAACACAGTGTCTTAAATGAAGTGATAAGTGACAACAGGTGAGAAATGAGCACAAGAAAAAAAAATATGAACTAAAAGTCTGGGAATACTTCAAAATAAGAGTCCCTTGAAATTTATCAAATTTGCATTTTTTTTTCAGTTCTGGTGTGGCAACAGGGGTCTTCATTGCCATTGACCACCTAATCTTCCAGATTGAAAAAGACAGTATGGTGGATGTCTATGGAATTGTTACTGATATGAAAATGCACAGGCCTCTCATGGTACAGACTGAGGTAAGGCAGAGGAATATTTCAGGATCAGTACCAGTTAAGCTCAACTGACAACAGGTTACAGTGAAGCACTTAAAGGGTAAGTAAATGGAGCAAGTTTTAAAGGCCCTGAAAGCACTGAAATATATCTTTTTTTCTGTTAAAATGGGTGTATTCATTGGGCTGTAAAGCTGTTATAAACGTTTACGAAATAGCCTCATTCACTTCAATTTAAGTATCTCAGTGTAACACAAAATTATGTGAAAGAAAAGGAGGGACAAGTAATTAAAAAAAAAATATTTTCACCAACATTATGCCACAATGCTTTCAATTGAGCTTAACTTTCACTGAACCCAGAATATTCCTTGACATTAACATTAAAGAGTGTACTGGCATTTGTTGTAGTACTTCTACAAAAAAAGCTGCCAATTATAGTAATATATATTGCACTATTTTATGTTTTATATTTTTAATTGCTGTTTTCTACAACAGGAGCAATATTCTTACCTCCAGCAGTGTGCGTATGACATAATTCGATCAAGAACTGGAACCAACATGGATTTCATTTATCAGAATGCAGCAGCACCCCAGATCTATGAAAATACAGAATATCTAAAACAATAAAATGGCCCTTGTCGATTGATCAGGCAGATTTGAGATTGTGTAAAGCACATTTTAAACTTGATTTCAAAATAATGAAATCCACACGTTACATATAGTTGGATGTAATTTATTTCCTGCACAATATTCAAAACATGAGTAACATTTTCATTATAATAAAGAAATTAAAAAAGTTAAAAACACTGAAAATGCTGATACACTTGATCATGTAAATGTCTAATATTTCAATCAAGGGATTTTTTTCTACTTTAATTTTTACGTTGTTTTATTTTACTTTTCCAAAGTTAATATTTGTATAATTTGACATTATATATTCACTGTAACCCCTGTGCATTTTTATAAAACATTTATCACTTCTCAGGTTATTTAAAAGAATACATTATATATGGTACAGTTTTATGATTATTATCAACATTTTTTGCTGGTCAAGATTATTTGCTTGGGATTTGTAATTTATATACTTAATGTTGCACTGAATATCAGCACAGCTATGATTACCTGCACTCTTACTCATGTGATATTGCTAAAATATAATTTATAAAGCTCTATTCATTCCATTTTTACTGTTCATGCTTTTCTTTTATCAAAACCTGCAATACTTTAACATTTTTACATTTTGTCCCACATATCACACATATCAATTGTTTATTTTCTGCTCTTAAATTAATATTAAAATATTTTATTTTTGTTTCAAATACATGACTGTTGTTCAACCATGGCTTCTATATCTTTTGTGAACATAGTTGTTCATGTTTATATGGAACATTTTCGTCTTGTTTCACTAGAGGGCACCAAAGCACTTTTCCTGTCTTTACACCTCATAAAGGTTATCAGAAATATCAAGCAGGCATATTTCACACTGGGTTTTATAGTGACTTCAGGAATATCAGCCCGCCCTTTTCCTGCCGACCACCTGAATTATGCAATATTATGCTAAAAATATTGATACCTTTGAGTTAATTCATATTAAATGACAATGAGTGATTATTAGTGCTGTTAACTCAATCACTGATTTAGTTCCAGAGTTGAAAACAACATTAAACAAATAAGCAAGCAAACAAAGGACGGAAGTGTTTTCATAACCCATTATAAGATTATGGAAATCGTGTCCATTTTTTAAGATTCTCCATTTTTGGATGCACATCGAAACAATTAGTAAACCTGTGTTACTAACTAATTAACGAAAGAATGGACTAACTATCTAACTAACTAACTAACTAACTAAATATATAAATAAACACACAAGCTGTATTCATAACCCTTTATCAGATTGTGGAAATTGTGTCCATTCTTTGGGATTCACTTTTTTATGTACTCTGAAACAATTTACAAATCCGTATCCGTAACTAACTAACACAAGCAAAACAAACAAGCAAACAAACTCTCTTCATAACCCTTTATTAGATTGTGAAAATTTTGTCCATTTACTTTTTTTTTTTAATGTACTCTGAAACAATTCACAAATCTTTTTTTACTAACTAACTAACAAAAACAAACAAACAATTGTGTAATTTAGGATACACATTTTTGTACTCTGAAAGTTTCAGAGTACAAAAATGTGTATCCTAAATTACACAATTGTTTTTTGTTTGTTTGTGTCAGTTGGTTATACAGATTGGTATTGTTTCAGACTGAAACAATACCAATCTGTATAACTAACTGACACAAACAAACAAACAAACAAATACTCTTCTCATAACCTATTGTCAGATTATGGAAATTGTGTCCATTCTTTGGGATTCTTCGCTTTTTGATGTACTCTTGAATGAATAAATCTGGAGTGTTGGGGAGTAACTAGTTACATGTAACAGAATTATGTAATTTAATTACTAAATAAATGTAACTGTAATCAGTTACACTTACTGAGAAAAAAATGTGTAATTAAATTACAGTTACTTATGAAAATGTTAAAGATTACAAAGGGGGTTACATCTGAATTTTTTCACACACACACACACACACACACACACACACACATACTGTACACACACACACACACACACACACACACATTTCAAAATGATTAACAGTTGAAAGTATTCATTAGAAATTTAGAAAAGTAATCAAATGTAATTAATTACATTACTTTAATATTGAAATAGTTACACTACTTATTACATTTGAAATAGGGTAACTTGTAATCTGTAACCTATTACATTTCCAAAGTAACCTTCCCAACACTGCAAATCTGTATAACCAACTAACAAACAATGGGGCAAATGAATGAATACAATTGAATGACACTTCATAAATATTGCTGGGGCACTGACCATGAAGCTTCTTACAATTGTGAAGCTTTGTCTATAAATAATAAAGAAAGTAGAATATTCATTCAGAATAATGCTGGCTGCATGTCAAAGGAAATACATACAATAATTTATTGATTTCATGAAACATTCATAATCCTCTCCTTAAGTAACACACCCAATCCTTATTGTTTTATAAAACAAAACTAATGCTATTTAGTGTATTTCCATGACCCATTTTTACATTTTGTTACATTATGTCATGTTTAGTTTATGTTTAGTCTATACAATGTGGATGAAAGAGCATTGCTGAAATGTTTGATACCTGCATGTATGAATCTCAATAGAACAGTTGAATGGACAGGTCTCAATATGCTTATGGACAGGTCTTAATATGCATTTCTTAATACAAATCTTAAATATAAGGAGGTGGGTGAATCAGAGCATAAAGGCTAAAAGTTCTGCTGTCCAGCAAGACGTCAGGCTTCATGAGGGTTAAATCCACCGCCCGCGTTTCCACTCTGACTGGTTAAGCGCCTCCTTTCCTCCAAAGGCATTTCCTGGCGTCCGCGCTCCCAGAATACACAGCTGTACGCCAGCGGTTATGGCATGCTATGGACCTCTATTTTATCTCTCCGTCATCTTCCATCTCTTGAGGATGCAGGTGTGCGCGGTTAACTTCCAACTTCCAACTGTATCGCGTTTGGAAAACAGCGTTTCGAGCGGCCTTTCCACATTTTGAGACGGCAAAAGCCGCGAGCGTTACTTTGTTTCGGGACAAACGGGAGCGTCGCACAGTCCCATTCCATTTATTAGATGATTGACGGTTGCTAAGGTGATCGGAACCTCATCAAACCCAAACAGAGCCGTTCTAGAGCTGACATGAAGTCGTTCGGATACGTCTAGATCTCCTGCCACGTTTCGGTCTTCGAGGGCTGAAGTTGCGACTGCAACAGAGGTAAGACAAATCTGCGATAGAAATATGAAAATATGACTGTATTACAGCTGCTGTGCTTTGAATAGGGATTGAATGATGGACTGCTGTTCTGAATAAATAACCACAAAGAGCAGCATTGATTATTTGCATTTGGATGTGAATGTGATTATTGGATTTCCTCTCCGGCATCCATCCATCCATCCCTAACCAGCACGAATCCTTTAAAACGTTACAACGCTGCATTGTTGCGTTATATTTTTCATATCTGCAGTTGATGTCACACACATTTCATATAAAGTCGCCTACTGTCCGCCTCCTCCTTTATTTAGGCATTATTGAACTGATTCCTATTGGCAAAAAGTATAGATTTGCTAATAATACGTTGCTGTAGGCTATTACATTAAACACTTATGCGTTAATACTTTTATTTGTTAACAATATTTAAGTTAATAATTGAAATATAAAAAAAAACAAAAACATTTGTGTATTTAAATATAAAAGTAACAACAGTAATATTCAAATTGGCATATATCAGCTCAGTTCACTTTACAAGCGATACAGTTTAATATAAATACATTCAATATGCAGTTAATACTATACATATTTAATATCGTTTATATAATATAATATTTAATTGATTTATAAATTAAAGTAATTAAGCCATAACGTATGAGGCCTTTAGTATTGTTAATTTTGTCACTGTATGGATGAATGCTTTATTGACCAATCAGCATCCATAAGTTCAATACTAATATTTGCATATTTCATATTATGTTAACATTATGTTAGTTATATTAAAGGAATAGTTTACCCAAAGTTGAACATTTTCTGAAAATGTACTCACTCTCAGGCCATCCAAGATGTAGATGAGCTTGTTTTTTTCATCAGATTTGGAGAAATTTTGCATTCCATCACTTGCTCACCAGTGGATCCTCTGCAGTGAATGGGTGCCGTCAGAATGATAGTCCAAACAGCTGATAAAAACATCACAATAATCCACAAGTAATCCACACCACTCCAGTCCATCAGTTAACATCTTGTGAAGTGAAAAGCTGCATGTTTGTTATAAACAAATCCATCATTAAAATGTTTTTAACTTCAGTACAAGTCCATAATCCATAATAATACTTCCTCCATCGAAAATCTCCAAATTATTCTGATAAGGATAAACAGACTCATCTACATCTTAGATGGCCTGAGGGTGAGCAAATTCTCATCAAATGTTAATTTTTGGGTGAATTATTCCTTTAATGTTATTTCTGTTTCTACATATGATGCTATAAATAGCATCACTTCTGTTTTTATTATGTCATAACCCCGCTGACATCAGCCAAAGTCATTCCACTCCCACCAGCAGTTGGGTGTAAATAGTGTGTCGACCTAACGTGAGTTTGCTTGTAAGTTTCTCTTTCTTTAGAATAAAAGAAATGTATCTTGAGATATGTAACGATAGTTCAACCTTGCTCATTAAAACAGTCAACCGCTAGTTCACATTCAGTACCAGATTGCTCAGACAGAAATCTCCAGTCAGTGACATGTTGGGAAGAGCAAACCTAGAATCAAGCCACCCTAACAGCCCAGTGTTTGTTCCTTCATTTATTCGTACCCTCCTGTTCCAACTGTGTCGCTTTTCTCGCTGATAGCTCTTTGTGAGAACTCCAGACAGCTGAATTCTTTTTTAAGGGGTCGTTGGCTGGTCAGTCTGCCCTTCCTGTCTGTGCAGCTGAGCTCTTTACCGTGGCTTCTGATACTAATGATACAGAGCTGTTGTTGGATTTAAAAAAAAAAAAAAAAAACCTTGATAAAAGCTTAAATAAGCC